GGAAATTTCTTCTTCGTAGAAACCGCCTTCGATGGGTTGATCTTGATAATCCTTTAGCTTGTATGTTACCGGCTTTGTTGATTTTACTTGAGTGATGGTGAATATTTCAGTTGTCCAGTTGGGTGTGTATCCTTTTTCAAAAACATTCTTATACTTGCTAACTCGCACTTTATCACCAACTTTGAATTTTGCTTTCTTAGGTAAAATTTTCTTTTGTTTGGATATGCGTTTCAACAATCTCTTTTCATCTTCTCTGCTGACATCTTTAGGTTTCATTCCAATAGTACGATGTTTATTATTATTATACTTTTTAACAAGAGATGGTAAAATGTCTTCCCATTTGTAATTTCCTCGTAAGTTGAACTGTGGCCACATCATATTTTTTAATGTGCGGTTAAATCTTTCAATAATTGAAGCTTTTAAATTAGTATAAGTTGAATACAGTTTAATTTTATATGATTTCATTAAACTTTCAAATACAGAATTATAAAATTCTTTCCCTTTATCAGTATGCAAGTTTTTAGGAACACGTCCATTCACAAGTATAGATTCCATAGCTTCAGAAACATCTTTTCCACTTTTACTTTTTACAGGAATAGCCCATGCATACTTGGAAAATATATCTATAACTGTAAGCATATATTTAAAACCTTTATTAACTTTTGAATAAGGTATCATTTCAACTAAATCTGCTTGCCAGGTTTCATCAATTCCACGCATTTCTACTTTTCGACGTGGATAATTTCTCCGAGCTTGCCTATGTAACTCTGTCACAACTGTTAACTTTTTATCATCCATGTTCAAGGATTTGTAACAAAAAATGATCTTGATAGAACAATATTCAATATAATAATGATCTTAATTTTACAAGTTCACTCTTAATATATAATTTGAGCTTCCCGTAATTCTTCAATTATTGACATAATTTCATTGTTATGACTTGAATTGCCAGCCTCGTTTGGATCATCCCAATAGACATAGTCTGGATATGATTCCTTCTTCACCGTCATAAATTGCGGTAATTGAGTTTTTCTCTTCAAATAAGAATCTCCAGATTTGAGCAAAAGTTTTGCTATAACATTAGTATATTTGAAAGTCTTATTACTACGAATAGGTTTATTTGGATTATAGTTCTTTCTATATGCATTCGTACTACGCAGGATTTCTTTATAGTTTACGAAATCATTAGCATTTGTTAACTTCTGATCAGGTTTTTGACGGAATATGAGTTCTAATAGTCCATCCGTTTTAGAATATTTTTTCTTCCCAACTAGATTAATGTAAGAACCTTCAAAATCAATTTGCGTATTACCAATCATATATGTACTGTCGGGAAGTTTACGTACTCCATAAACTGTATCAATATATTGTTTTCTATTTTTGTCCAACATTTGTAGAAATTTCTTTGTCAATTTATCAGAATGTTCTTCCACAGTATTAACCACATTACTTTCATCTTTAATATCGTACATGCCTTGCTCATGAAAGTCATCATTAAGTATATTATTATTTTGCTTATTAGTAATAACATTATGATTCTCTTGATTTGACAATCTATCAATTATATTTTCTTTTGATAAATTTTGCATGTCTTCTTCTTCATAAATAGGATCATAAAACGTTACATCATCATTATAAATAGATTTGTTGAAAGGTGTATCTTTACTAATGGCAGTCTTAAAAGATGATTCAAAGTAACTTCTTCTTCTTTCTTTACATGGTTTTGAAAATTTTCAATCTTTATAGGATTTTTAGTTATATTCACTAATTTTTCCAATGGAGTAACTAATGGTTGAAAGGTTTCTTTCAATATATTTTCAGCTGACTCTCTGCCAGTTTTAAGAATACGATGCTTTCGACGTATAGCATCACTTGCTGCAGCTATTTGATGTAGTGTCTCTCGCTCCTTTCGAAACATGTTTATTTATGAAAGTCTCAAACTGAACTAATGCAATTCTCTTGAAATGCTTAATATTTATAACTGAATAAAGCAATCAAATCCCTTCCTATATCTTCCATCATTTATATTTCTGTCTTTATCAATAACTACAAATCCATATCTGTCAGAGTTCCAACATACTGAACATAAATCTCGAAACTGAGTAAACGTCATATCTGTATTAACATGATCATTGTAAACATGCTTGAGATTCCTTTCATCTTGTCTGAATAGCACAAGCAAATTAATATTATCTCTAACAAGATGTTTTGGAATATGAGCATATGTTTGACAAAGATAAAAACTATCGACGTTAACATGTCGTCCCATACAAAAAAACGCTTTAACATTGTCCTGCTTCTCACAAGCGATATCATCAAAAATGAAAATTGAATTAGTTTTTGCATCTTTAGGTGTAACAACTTGTTCATGTTCACTGAATGGGAAAAACTCGATGCCATCTACTTTACTAAGTACTTGTTCCAAAAATTCATATTTCGGCTGCTATAATGATTTTGAATATAAATATATATTTTCAAATCCTAAACCATTCGGATGTATAATCAGAGAAAGAAGTGCATTCGTTTTTCCACAATTTGAAGGTCCGCAAAAAGCTACTCGAATACTATTTGAAAATAAACTTCCATGTCGTTTAACCCCATTATCTTTAGTTTCAATGAGGTTATCCACATTTGCAATCGGGAGTTGTACAGCTTGTACCTTGAAGTGCATCTTGGAATTGACTAACGGAAAAAACTATAAATACCCTACTTATATAGTCGCCCTCAATCAGTTGGTTATAGACCATTGTCGTGTGAGAAATGATTACTCACGATAAAGTGAAGAAAAATTCTTGCAGTGGTCAAGGATTTCTCAATACTTTAATTAACAAATTACCATTCGAGTGTCACATTCCTGGTTATCAATATTGTGGACCTGGAACAAAGTTGACAAAACGTCTTGCACGAGGGGATCCTGATATAAATCCCTTGGATACGGCTTGTAAGGAGCATGATATAGCCTATTCAAAAGATAAAGACGTGGCTGCCAGAAATACTGCAGACAAAATACTAGCTGAAAACGCGTGGGAACGAGTAATTTCCAAGGACGCTAAAATGAGTGAAAAAGCAGCTGCATTAGCTGTAACTAATATAATGAAAGCTAAATCTAAATTTGGGATGGGTTTAAAAATTAATAATATTAAGAAAAAGATTGTGAAGAAGAAGAGGAAGAAGTCGAAGAAGAAGAAGAATACAATTTCCAAGAAAAATAAACGCATGACATTAGGGAAGATTATTCATGCTGCTAAAAATAATATGAAAAAAAATCATAACGCAACGGACACTATTAAAACAGCAATGATTGGTGCACAAAATGCAGTTAAAAATCTTGGTAGTAAATGTAAAATTTCATCACCTCGAATTCTTCCTGTACCTTCAAAAGTTGGCGGTATTTTACCGCTAATACCAATTTTTGCCGGGCTTAGTGCATTAGGAGCACTTAGTGGTGGAGTCAGTGGTATTGTAAAAGCAGTAAATGATGCTAATGCTGCTAAAAAACAACTTTCAGAAGCTCATCGACATAATGAAACAATGGAGGCCATTGCTATAGGAAAGGGTATATATTTGAAACCCTATCGTAAAGGACTTGGTCTTTATATTAAACCACATCAAGGAAACGGATTGAAATATACAAAGAGTGTTCAAAAAAACTAATATTGAAGCTACCGCACCGCGGACTAACCGACTATGATTTACTTAAATATGCTAAACTTGTGAAAATACCTAAATTTCGTGGAGTTTTTATGAGAAATGAATTACCTATTACAGGACCTTATAAATGTGAATCAGCCATAATTAATCTTGATAATAAAGAAGGTCCTGGAACACATTGGGTAGCATATAAAAAGATAAACAATGAAACTGAATATTTTGATAGTTTTGGAAATCTTTCACCACCATTGGATCTCATTGTTTATCTAGGTGTTGGTAGCTATATAAAATATAATCATGAGAGATATCAAAATTTTGATACATTTATATGTGGTCATTTACGTCTTAAATTCTTATGTAAGCAACTTAACGTTAAGAACAGTTTTAATCTATATAAGAATATGTAAACAATTATAACCTTCAGTATAAAAGTAGATGTCCAACATGAATGACTCTTTTACTTTAACGTTAACGGGAAAGTCTTCAGTTCTGGAGGCTTCATACTTCCCACCTATTGAACTTTCACCTAATAAAAATTATGCACTTGGACTTGTTGATTTATTTACATATAACTCAATTCCTAATATTGATGAAAGTTCCAACAAATTTTACATAGATGATTTTGAGTTTACTATACCTACAGGTAGTTATGAAATTAAAGATATAGAAGAATATTTGCGGCGTCAATTACCAGATGAAGATTATTTAGCAATAGATTCCAACAATAGTACATTAGGATGCAATATTAAATCAAATCTTTGGATTGACTTTACTCCTGAAGATTCTATTGCTAGTTTATTGGGATTCACTGCTCGCAAACTAATGCCGAATTTAAAACATTTCTCCGATTTACCTGTAAAAATATTGAAAGTGAATGCTCTACGCATTGAATGTAGTATTACCACTGGAGCTTATATAAATGGTGAAAAAGTTCACACTATACATGAATTTTTCCCTACTGTTCCACCAGGATATAAGATTGTAGAAGTTCCAGCACACATCATTTACCTTCCAGTCGCCGTAAGGACAATACATAACATTCAGCTGCGTATAGTAGATCAGAACGGTATTTTGGTTAATTTTAGAGGAGAGACAATAACAATCCGTTTACACATTAAATCAATGTAATGGGTATTGTTTATAATCGAAAAGTCGGAAGTAGTTATAAAACTCAAACACCATGTCCATCGAAGATCAGTTTGAATACAGCTCGCAAGGTGTTAACACCTCAGAGTCGACAATTCCTGAAGCAGCTAGGTCTACGAGTCAGAAATCAAAACTAAGGAAGAGAAAGAAGAGCAGAGGAGAAAATTTTTTCTTGTTTATTTTGTGTCGCTGTTATAAGAAAAATGGCGGAGATTCTCAGCATTCCAGCATCAGTGAATTTTGATGAATCCATAGCTAATTATGAGATTCACAGTCATCAACCATATGCATCCTCATCGTTTAACAATAGTGATGAAATTCGCATTATTGTACAAAATCAAGATTTATCTATTTTACCAAGCAATAGTGTATTACATATTTTTGGAAGGTTGACTAATGCTGATGGAACTGATGCCACACAAAATATTCATTTCACCAACAATGCGATAGCCTATTTGTTTGATGAAATTCGTTATGAATTGAATGGTATTGAGATTGACCGTTGCAAGTATGTTGGACATACAACTACTATGAAAAGCTTGGTTTCCTTAACACCACCTCAACTTAACCGCGCTGAAAATGCAGGAATTTTGAATATGGAATTTAATACAAGAATGTCATTACAAGATGGATATTTTGATGTATCAGTACCACTTGGTATGATTTTTGGGTTTGCTGAAGATTATAAAAAAATTGTTATGAATGCGAAACATGAACTGATTTTAATAAGAGCACGTAGTGATTTAAATTCTATTATTCAAACGGGCGAAGGTGCAGATGAACAGTTCAAAGTACAAATTAATAAAGTGGAATGGTTAGTGCCATATGTTTTACCATCTGATAATAATAAAATCAAATTATTGAAATTTATCGAGAAAGATCCACTAATTTCAATGAGTTTTCGATCATGGGAAATGTTTGAATATCCCTTAATTCCGTCAAGTACAAGAGTCATGTGGCAAATAAAATCGTCAACACAATTAGAGAAGCCTCGATATGTAATTGTTGGATTCCAAACAGGAAGAAAAGATAAACGTAAAAAGTCTGCCAGTTATTTTGATCACTGCGACATTACAAATGTAAAACTCTTTTTGAATTCACAATCATATCCTTATGGAAATTTAAATTTAAATTTTAATCAAAATCAATATTCTATACTTTATGATATGTATGCTAATTTTCAATCTTCCTACTATGGAAGAGATTCTGAACCCATATTAAAGCTTGACACTTTTAAATCATTGGCTCCTCTAATTGTTATTGATTGTTCAAAACAAAACGAGTTTCTCAAACAAACGTCAGTTGATGTACGTTTGGAATTTGAAGCTAGAAATAATATACCTGTTGAAACAACTGCTTATTGCCTCATCATACATGATCGCATTGTACAGTATAAACCAATCAGCGGTATAGTTAAGAAGATGTCAAGCAGTGGAGGGGGTAAAATGAAAGTAGTGGGGGGTTGAACTGAGAGGTATATAACTCACGTTCCTGGGATAGAAATTTATTTCTATTCCAGGATGGAGTTCATCGTAGACGTTCAAGGCTTCAAGAAACCCTGCAACGATTTTATTTTCAAAGAGTTGGCTATACTTCCTCTTGAAGCTGATGCTCAACCTCGAGTTTACCTCTTTGAACCTCCATGTGCTTGGAATTCACTACCTGAACGTTATAAAAGTGAAAATCTTTGGCTAACAAACAATTATCATGGAATCCACTGGATGTCTGGAGATGTATCTTATGATGAACTGCGTACTATTATACAAGAAACATTACGAGGTGCAAAAACTATCTACACGAAAGGTGTTGAAAAAAAGCAGTGGTTAGAAAAATATTTGTTAAATGTGCAAAATTTAGAAGATATAGACTGTCCAGCGATTAAAAATATTAAAACTGAATCATTGTTAACTACATGTACACATCATATTACTCAAACTAATCATTGTGCTGTAAACATTGTTATGATTCTTCGAAATTGGTTTCTGAATGTATCGAATCAATTGAGAAATTTATCAGATGGCGTCGATGAAGTGGATTGTACTTATACTACTTTAAAATCTTTTTATGAAAATTCTGAATCTTGTGTATAATAAATTTTAAATACTTTATCTGAATAAATTAGTTTATTAGTTTTTAAAAAATAAAAAAACGTCTATTTATTACTTGAACCTATACCCTTAGTATTAAGACTAATAATGAAGGTAAAATAAGAAAAGAAACCATTTTCTAGGTAAATTAATACATTTATTTTTCTCACATTATGAATATTTACAATTTTATATTACAATTATTTTTTTATTTTATATTTTAATAATTTTTTAATATTACTTATATTCAAATTCGATTACATTAAACTTGCCGCCGATATATTTTAGTTGTAATTTTTGAGATTGCGCGGCTTCTTCCATCATTGTGAATGATGCAGGTTCAGCTTCGAACAGCTTCGCAAACCTTGCTGGGAGGAAAGTGTTGAATGTAGTATCTAGTTCTGCTACAATCCTACCTCCGAATTTTGTCTGCACCCTCTTTATTTTGGTTACAGTATATAAAGCATTTGGAGTCAACTCAGCAAGCGGTTTTGTTGGCAGGAAGCTTTCCATGTGACCAATAGCGTTGAGTTTTTGTAAATCCATGATTTCTTTTTATATCTGTAAGCAGAAGTAAATGGAAAATTTTAATATAAAAATCAAAATTAAGCTGGGAGGGAAGTGGGTTAAAAAAGGAGTTAAAGTAGAATATATACCTTATAGAAGATGGAGTAGTGATGCTAATGCTGTGGCAGCTGTGGATGTCGTTGCTTCAGTATATCTGTAACAGTTATGCTATCTCCGGGCTTGTGTTCTGCATTATATGCCATCAGCCCCACTCTTCTTTTTTTCTCCCACTTCTTTTCACTCCCACTTTAAACAAAAAACTGCGCACGCATCTTCACTTTAACATAGTGTAAGCATCACCCTCTCTATTGAAAGAATGCGCACGCAAGTTGGACTAGAGGGGGGTGGAAAATATATACATTAAGATATTTCTAGAAGTTAGTGGGCTATGGAGAGGGGGTAATACCATTTTTATTTATAAGCAAATGTAAAATTTTAATCTCAATACCCCTACTTTTATTTTATACATACTTAATATTTGCGCACGCAACTCCACATTTACAATATCTATTCTATTATTAAGGTTCACTTTTACTGTGACATGAGATAGTGAAAGGACCTTAACTGAAATGCAGTTCAGGGAGCGTCACATATATAGAATTGAAATTTTAAATTCACCGTGTAGAAGGTGGTGCCATCTCTTAGAAAATATTCATACTAATATGCTTTTAACTTAAGGCTCACTTTTACTGTGACATGAGACAGAATTGTGCTGAGTCGATCAAACCGACTAGGATTCCTGGGCCCATGTAGGGCTATACTCCTGATGTTAAAGCAATATCTACCTTCTAGCGAAACCACTACCAGCATGGAGAAACGGCGGTGATTCAGCAAGCATCCTCACTACCGATGCTCCATGGGGAGCGGGTATGGAAAAACTGCCGCTATAAGGTCCGTAGGAACCAAAGCGGCGTTAAAAGAAGACCGGGTGCCCTTGCGGGAGGAGACGGTTAGCAATGTTTCCCTTCGCCCGTGCAAGATTCGAGAATCTTGAGCGGGAGAAGGGAAACAAAGTACCCAGCGGGGACCTCGTGGAGGTTCCATCTCCCGAGCTAAGCTCCACCCACCGATGTTCTGGTAGGCCTGAAAAAAAAAAAAAAAAAAAAACACATATTTACAATATTTACAAATTCCCACCACCAATAAAAATACCCAAAAACAAATAACAATTTTTAAAAGTGCCCTCCCAATTATTTCCTTTAAAATTACCCGCAGTTGAGTGACACCTTCACCAAGAAAACAACAACTAACAATTTTTTTTTTTTTTTTTTTTTTTTTTTTTTTTGCCCTTACTCGAGCTAAGACCCTCTCTGGAGGGACCGAGCTCGAGGAAGGGTAACCTACAGCTAATTAAAAATGGTGAAGGTGTCACTCCGGGTGCGCCTTGGTATTAATCCAGTCTGCCGGACCCTCTTTCGAGAGGTCAGTTGCAGCTGGATTGTTACCTCTTTTTGGTATTACTCCACTTCGCCGGACTTCCTTTAGGGAAGTCATGATGCTAGTGGAGTGTTACCTTCGAGACGCCGCCGCCACTTTGCCTCCTTCGCGTCTATGACGCCGCGCGCAAATGCCTCAAAATAAGGATACCCCTCTCGACTGACCAGCTTCTGGGCTGATGAAGGCCACCTTATTTCCTCGCCTAGTCCCGCGCGCAAGACACCACGTTCCGCGGTAAATACGGGGCACTCTGCCAGGACGTGCATCATGGTTTCCTCAGGTGCGCCACACGAGCAGGTCGGACCGACACCGAGACTGAACCCCCAGAGTTTGGAGGCGAAGTCTCCGTGTCCAGTCAGCATCTGCGACGTGTGGTACCCCGGAGAAATCCATGTGCTTTTCAAACGACGCTGAACGTCGGGGATCAGCGTGTGCGTCACCCTTCCGACAGCGTCGTTTGTCCAACTCTCCTGCCACATACGGAGGGTTTCTCTTCTAACCCTACCCTTGATCCCTCTTCCTATCTCCTCCTCGTACACGGGCATATTGCCGTGTCGGAATCCCCATCGTCTGCGGATGCTATACAGCGCTAGCCTTTCACGCAGAAGGAGACCTACGGGCAAAACCCCAGCGAGCACGCATAGCGCGCTACTCGATGTTGTAGAGTATGACCTAGTCATCGTCAGCAGTGTCTGTCTCTGTGCTGTCCTTAGTTTTCGTAAGTCCGTCTGTGTCGCAAGGTCTGCCCATCCAGCCGCTGCGTATCCAGCAATAGCGGGGAAAACACCCCGGTAAATCGTATTTAATGTCCGGAAGTGTAATCCCCATTTGCTGGGAGCGGCCCGTCGGATGGCAGCCATCTGTCGTTTGAGTTTGTCGGCTGTCAGCGTACAGTGCGTCGTAACCTTGAGCCCCTCGTCGATATGAACACCAAGCAATCGAACACTTTTCTTTAGTGAGATTGACTTGGTGCCCAATTTGACGATAGGGGCCCGTTTGCTCATATCAGAGGGGTATCTCCACTCTCTGTTCTTGTTCGAGCGTCTTCTGTTTCGGGGGGGGTTGAACTTGAGGTACACCATCTCCGTTTTGCTCTTTGACAACTGGAGACCGTTAGCGCCACACCATTGAGAGACTACGTCGGCCACATCTTGGGCTCTCTCCTGGAGTTCCTTTCTGGAGTTTCCAGAGACAATTACCGTCAAGTCATCTGCATAGACTGCAAATGACTTTCCGATTAATTGCTCTAGAGTCTCCAGAAGGTCATCAAAGGCTATGTTCCACGCGCATGGACCCAACACGGAACCTTGAGGGCATCCCTTGGTTGATGCACGCAGAACAGAGCCTCCATTCCAGGAGAGTGTCATCCGTCTATCTCGGAAGTAGCTTCCTATGACAGCCAAGATGTTGCTCGGGCAGCCTCTCTTGGCTAGTCCATTTATTGCCAACGGCCACCTTATGTTGTCAAAGGCCCCGGTAATGTCGAAGAGGAGGGCTAGGACGTACCTCTCCTCCTTCTCCGACACTATCCTACGGATTTCAACAATGGTGTCCTCGCAAGACTTGCCCTTTACAAAGCCGAATTGTTGTGTGGACAACATATTCGGCCCGAGGGCAGTCTTTCTCAACCTTCCCAACAGCAGGCGCTCGAATATTTTTCCAAGAACAGAAAGCAGACACACCGGTCTGTATGAGCGCACCTCGGTTAAGTCTTTGTCCCGTCCTTTAGGAATGAACCGGAGGTTACCCAACTTCCAATCTTTTGGGAAGTGGCCCAGCACCAAGCACGCGTTTACTAGACGGAGAAATGGATGCTCCAACCACGGCCATGCCATTTTCACCACCTGGACCTCAATATTATCAAGGCCAGGGGCTTTTCTGGCTGGGAGGTGGCGGATTATCCTCCAAGTCTCCGTTCCAGTAAACGGCTCTTCGTCTTCCGCTGGCTCGGGAATTGCCCATTGAACTGCCGCCACTTCCTGTTCTTCGATGGGAACGAAAGCTTTTAAAAATAGTTCCGCTCCCTCGGACATGGAAGTGACGGCTTCTCCGTGTTCATTCCTAACCGTACTAAAAATGGTCTCGGTACGTAATTTGTCCGTCAACGACTTGTATACGATACCCCATGGCTCGCGGTTACCGACATCAGTGACAAAGTCGCGCCATGATTGCCGGTTCGCGCGTCTGGCCTCCTTGCGAAATTCATCCTTCTTTCGGATGTACGTCTCCCGTCTCTCCACTTTTCGCTCTGGCAAGACCTCGCGTTGATACAGTCCCCGTAGACGGAGAACTTCACGCTTCATTTGCGTGAGTTCTTCCGTCCACCACGGATGTGGTTTGCTATGCCATCTTTTCTTGGGCATGGACGCTTTGCA